GGCACACCCCAAGGAAGAACCCGAATAATCCATGTTTTCCCGCAGGATCTAATAATAAGAACGAGTTTACATAACTTAGTCCATTTCATACATCCAGAGTTCATAAAAATATATTATTATAGTACCAAATTCAGAGTGCGGAAATTTAACAACGGAATGAAAAGAAACAGCTAGCGATAATATACAAGGATCCGTCTGTGCCCACCAGAAGAATCCTTCACACAACGGTCACTCCTCAAGCAGTACCTGCAATGGGGGTAAATAAACACTGAGTACACAATGTACTCGCAAGACTTATCCGACTAGTGGGAATACTTTTCCGACTCCAAGGGATATAATAAGCTTTATGGTTTGCTGGATTTCTTTTTTGTAGAAACCGATTCTAACAGTGAATCCTTATTTATGTTATTATTAGCAGTCATGATTAATTCATTATCTAGCCATTCTATGTAAGCACCTATTCTAATTTCAAGCAAGGGTTGAGCAAACAGTTTCATTTCATCACCTTTTCTCTTTCAATTCTTACTACGGTGCTAGACTGTAGACAAACCTTATCGGATCGCCGGGCGATTCATGAATCAATGTGCCCAGCTAGGTACCTCGAAAACACACGCCCTGCTTGTACCCCAGGCATAAGCAGGACTAGCCCATCACTCTCCTGTCACGGGGTCCAGGTCCCCGTCCAAACTTGGACTCCAAGCCTCCACTCCTGAGTCCCGGATTTAGTGCGGTGCTTAGACCTCCACCATCCTCACCTCCAATCAGTCGGTTCGGAAAGAGTCAAAACCCACGACAAGAGAGCAACAAGCCTTCACTGCGCCCATACCTAAGTATGTGCTCGGGATAATAAGTCTGTGACTTGCCTAAAACCCAATGCAACGGTCGGTCCTTAACCGACACAGACATGAAAAAAGTGTAACCAAGCTATGCCCTATTGGCCGCAGGACACAACCTCTTACACCCACCAATACCCAAACCATATCCATGCCTAGTCTCCATTTTTCTTTTCCACCATTTTATCCTGAGTGATCTTAATAATAACCTATTGTAAGTAACGGTAGGTTACTCACGCTACCGACATCCTGAGCATAGCAACTACACGACCTATCCTAGTAGGACTCATAGGAAGGTAAATCTATACAGATAGTTTCCATAAAATGCCTGTAACGTAAATGCACATCATATATATATTCAGTGATCAGTAAAAATAAGGGTTATGCACCGGAGCTTGCCTTGGGCAGGCGGAATGTCAACAAAGTCAGCAACTGAAGGCTCTGAGGCTCCCTCCTGTACGAGAATCTCCTCCTCATACTCCTCAATGATCTCCTCGTACTCCTAGTCGTCCATAGGCACAAACTATACCAACTCGTTATCTACATGCATGAAATAATGATGCAACACTTAATAATACGGCAACAACAACTGTTAAAATAAAATACATCTGTCAAGCTACTAAACTAGCTTTACCGACTAAGATGCTAAGTTGCCTATCATTTCCACTAAACAGGTATAAAACATTCCATGTATTAACTTAGCAACTAAAGGCATCCCCATTCTTAATATCGATTTACTCTATATATGATAAAATAAGGAGTACTAGCTACTCTATTTATCAACCTACTCTAGGATTATAAAAATTATAGTGCGCACATAATAATCTAACGAACCTACTGTAAAAATTTTATGGCTAAAACTATCGTTAATTTGCCACAAAAATTTCTACAAATATTAAGCTAAATAATATTAAGCTTTCCTAAATAAATTAATGAATCTATCATTATCATAGCTAACTGTAAACTAACTACACCAACAGATAGATATATTTTTGTGAACCTAACAAATTTTGTTTCATTATTTTTGGACACCTACAACATTTACTATCATTTTTCAAAGATCAACTCATAATTCAAATTAAAAAAGCATCTACTAATTCCCTAGAAAAAGAAAATTGAATTCAACCCACGGCCCACTACTCGCGGTGCGGCCCATGCCCGTGCAGCACGCGCGACCCACGCGGGCGTGGCCCAACCGAGCGACAGCGGCCCGCGACGGGAAGGCCCGCGCGCCTCGTCTATTTTGCGAAAACGTCCTTGATCTACCAGTGAATCACCCTGAGACCCACAACACTATTCCTACACGCTCGGGACAAACTGTCTTTACCACTGCCACGTCCTCGGGCACCCGCGCGCGCACCGGCGCGGCGGCGCTGGCATAGGGCGGTCATGTCGGCTATCCTAGCCCCTCCCCACCCCGATAGCGAGCCGATGCTCACCTTGATGCGAACACGAGGACTAGAGGACAAGCATCAACAACTCACCCAGAACCTACCAAACGTGATGGCTTGACCGGGAATGGGCCGAGTGAGTCCAGCCACGCGCGCACGGCAAACACGGCGACGACCGCGGTGGCGCGACCGCGTCAACGGCGCTGGGCAGGCAGTAGCAGTGCAACTTGGGGTGCGCACGGGGTGGAGGACTGTGAGGCGAGACTAGGGGCGAAACCAATTTGGACTCGGGAGAACCAGACGGGTACTGCCCACGGCAACGACATCTAAGCCTTTAATGGCGCAACGGCGGGCACCTGCTCTAAATTGGAGCTTGCCAAGGTACGATACGGCACGGTGCGGGGCCGGTTGGCTAGCTAGCTAGAAGACGGAGCCGGACGCGCGTTGAATTGAAAGGACACGACCTCACCGTGCCGGATTGAAGGTGCGGCCAGGGCGGCCCCGCAGCAGAGGTGGGAGGGGAAAAGAAGGGAATGGGGTCCGGCTGCTAGCCCAAGCCTTGGCGAGACGTGACGACCGCACCCGAGCAATCATTGCGAGCCAGCGCAGCCAGGAGAGGGGGCACACCCACGTGCGGGCGGTGGCAGTGCAGCCGCACGGTTGTGGCGCCATTAATGGCGAACAAGTTATGGCCTCAGCAGGGCCACGTGCACTAAATTACGACGGCAACGACGTAGAGGCGCAGGCGGACGCGACGGTGACAATGCAACGTAGTAGTGACAGGACGACGGTGGCTCGGCCGACGCAGTGACGCGACGTTAACGCGCTCTAACGCATGGCGATGACCCGGTGAGGCGGCGGCAGCAAAGAACAACAGCCGGCTAGGGTATCGGGTTCGTCGAGCGCGGCAGTGCACGGCGTGGGAGTGTACGTGCTCTGGTCGTGCAACACGGTCTGGCGCGGCGGCAAGCGACGCGAGCCGAGACGATGGTGCGGTGAGAGAGAGCAGAGCCAAGACGGAGCGACGCGGCAGCGATACCGAGCATCAAGAATGACGACGTCACGGCAGTGGCAGAACGAAGCAAGCGGGGAGGAGCGATTGCGCGCCAGGTAGTAGCAGACCAGGAGACTAAGCCGAAGGCGGCAAAACACGCTGCTGCCCGCTGCCCGTCGGCAACATAGGAGCATGGTGACCGCATCCACACGCGGAACTTGGCTCAAAACGTGCGATGCACGCTTTTTAAAGCGTTCCAAAAATCCAAGTCGATGATTCAGTTGCTAAACTACCTACCTATTTCATACTCGAGAGGGCATGTTTAGCTACTAAAACAAACCCTAATACCCTATCACACCTTAACCCGATTATTCTACAAAAATTGTCAAACTTAACCTTGTCAAACCACTTTTCAAACTTACGAAATCAACTAAGTCCTGATCGGATTCGCGTCAAATTCGATTTACAAGCTATTCGGTATACTAGCTAGCAAATTCCCTTCGCGACCTCAAGTATTTCATCGTCACCTACCCGGTTTGTACTTCTAACTTTACTAAAATTCCGTATATGCGTTCTATTGTATTTTCGCTTAATAAGAATTGATTTAGAACCCTAAGTAATATAACTTGACTATGAAATGTAACTTTCGTTTCGCGTTTCCGACGATCGTTTCGAGTTACAGAAATTGATTTACACACTATTTTATATACACTATCACATAAACATGATGCCCATGCAGTGTTGTAGCAAAAGATTTACAGTGTAACACCGAGGGTGTTACACCATGACGCCATTCGATCTCCACCACGGCCTAAGCTAGCTTACCATAAGTCAAGCGCTTATTAATTATTATTGGCATAGTAGTACTACGATCTGTCGCCGAGCTCTGGATGGAGTTTAGTGGCAGCTTCTATGCTGTTTTCTCCTTCGCCCTGTCCCAACGCCATCGCCGCCCCATCACCTCGCTCTGCGCAAGTCACGCACGCACGCTGTCTTGCCGAGGCCATGCACGATGCAGCCAAGCACTAGCCGTCGCCCAAGCTCGTCCACTGCAGCCCCACGACCACGCCTTGCCCACCTAGTTGCCTGGAGCTCCTCCCCTTCCCTCGTTGCATGGTAATGGCGGGAGGTTGAAGAAGAAACTGGCATGTGGAGCCCATACGTCAATGAGTGGAAGGAGAGAAGTAGTAGGGGTAAAAAGATCATTTGGCATGTCCTATAAAGGTTTCTAGGCTCATTGTCATCTTTGGCATGGCTACCCTTTGTGCCACGTCAAAAAGGTGACCAAAACGTAAAAGGTTTACTGTTTATGATGGCACAGTAACACGCATAAAACTACCGTGCGTAAGATGGCGAAAAGTTAAAAATCCCCTTAACCGGAGCGTCCTCCCCTTCCCTCGTTGCATGGTAATGGCGGGAGGTTGAAGAAGAAACTGGCATGTGGAGCCCATACGTCAATGAGTGGAAGGAGAGAAGTAGTAGGGGTAAAAAGATCATTTGGCATGTCCTATAAAGGTTTCTAGGCTCGCTGTCATGCTGGCATGGCTACCTGCTGTGCCACGTCAGCGAAGGTGACCAAAACGTAAAAGGTTTACTGTTTATGATGGCACAGTAACACGCATAAAACTACCGTGCGTAAGATGGCGAAAAGTTAAAAATCCCCTTAACCGGAGCTGACGCTCGGAGCCGTCGTCATATCCCACTACAAAATCTATCCGACTCCAAAGCAGGCGCACTACTCGTCTAATCCCCGGACCCCGGGCAGCAGCGGCGGCAGCAGCCATGGCTTGCTCCGCGCACCTTCTGTCCCAGAGCCTCTACTCGTCCCACTGCTCCAGCTCGGCTGGGCCCAGTAACCTCCGCTCCCAGGGCCGACCGCCGGCACGGGCGTCTCCCGCTGCGAGGCCCGGCTCGAGGGCCAGGGGCTGTCGGGGTGTCGTCAGCCTGAGGGTCGCCGCGTCGTTCGAGGAGGGGAGGAGGCAAGTGGAGGTAAGCGCCTTTCTAAACCCTGAATTATGAACGGGAATGGGGGAATTTGGTAAGGACTGTTCGGATTGCGGGAGGAAATGTAGGAAACCAAAGGATTCGGCCGCGCTGTTCGTCTGTTATGCGCTTTGGGAATGCACGAAATGGGAAACGGGAGAAGGAATTTCATTTCTGCGCGGGTTCTGTCCGTTCCCGCCCCGCCGATTCTCTCGCGCTCCGTTACCGACGTCGCGCGATGCCACCGTTGCCTTGTGTCAAAGCGGGCGTCTCCTCTCTTCCGCGCCAAGCGTCCCGTCCCGTCCCGTCCCTCACAGCACAGCAAAACCAAACCACAGGGAAATGTGCTTTCTTGCGGCCATGAAACATGTTCAGCTTCCAGCTGTTTCGTCTTACAGGCTCTTTTTTTTTCTAGGCTCCGTGTTACTGTAGTGCATCCAAAAATGTTTCCTATGTTTAGGCCTCACATTTCGTTTCAACTAAGCTAAATATATTCATGAAAAATCCATAATATGCCACCTTGAAAGAAATAAGGCCCGCATTAATATGTTATTATATTCCACCTCTGACTTCTTAAAGGGGTTGATTGATTATTTAATTACTTCCTCTCTTTTGTTTCTATTTCTAGTTTTCCTAAATTCTTCCATGCTTGTTTTTTCCCCATAGAGTTGTGAAAACTCTTTTGTTGGCTAGGGAAATCCAGATCATCTATTGCAACTTTCTTACTATTGTAATCGTGTATGTTTTAGGTCTCTTATGACCCACAAGCAAGGTTTAACCAGATAGCGGACCAAATTGACAAGGATGCTGGGATGACACGGCTTAACCTATTTTCACCTTGCAAAGTATGTTACTATCTTTCTTTTGATGATTGATAAGCATTGAAAACATTTTTGGTTGCTTCTTTTGTGCTTCAGATTAAGACTTGTGCATATGTTTGCAATGCAGATTAATGTGTTCTTGAGGATAACGGGTAAGAGACCAGATGGGTTCCATGACCTGGCTTCTCTATTTCATGTGAGCATTTTTGTGCCTGTTTTGTTTTTTCCTGCATGAGTGTCATTTTAAAAAAATGTTTTTTTGTCAATTTATATGGCATCCAGCTTTATTAATGGAGTCTTACCAGTTAGGAAAAAAACATTCGAGACCTTTTAGGAAGAAAAAATTATGTTTATTATGTTCAAACATTGGAATAGATTTCGTGTGCAGGAATTTGGAATATATACGTGATTTAACACATTAAGGCCCCGTTCGGCTTGCTGAAACTTGGCTGAATTGGTTAGAAAACACTGTTTCGGCTGAATTGTTGTGAGAGTAAAACACTGTTCCGGCTGAAAAAACAAGCTAAATAGTGCGGATTATAAGGTAAGCCGAACGGGGCCTAAAAGGACATAGGTTAAAACATACATAGCACCATTATCAACAGCAAAGGAACAACAACAACAACAACAACAAAGCCTTTAAGTCCCAAACAAGTTGGGGTAGGCTAGAGTTGAAACCCAGCAGAAGCAATCAAGGTTCAGGCACGTGAATAGCTGTCTTCCAAGCACTCCTATCTAAGGCTAAGTCTTTGGGTATATTCCATCTATCAACAACAAAGGAAACACTATTTAAATAATATACCTAATTGTTCTTCAAATGAAGTCATTATGTTTGTGGATGTTTGCAATCCACTCCATTTCCATGAACCTTTTATTCTTCTCTTTGCAATACTGTTGATCAAAGAAAATCTGTTTTTGATGTTCGGGCTAAGGTTAACTTCCATTTAGACATACTGCTCCAAATACCAATTTGCATGATAGACTATTATCTGACCAATATCAAGTCTTACTTAAAAGCAACGACACATGCTTTGGACAGACAAGAATTGTCATCTGTACTCACTAGTTCTAATAATAAACTTCCAGGTGATAAGTTTGGGTGATACGATCAAATTTTCATTGTCACCAAATAAAAGCAGAGATCGCCTGTCAACCAATGTTCCAGGTGTCCCAGTTGATGAAAGCAATTTGGTATGATGGCTCTATATATGTTGACATAATAAATGTACAAATAGCTGCACACTTGTTATTCTCAACTTCCCTAACTTAACTATTGTCTCATGAGCCTGCAGATCATCAAGGCACTCAACCTTTACCGACAAAAAACTGGGACTAATAACTTTTTTTGGGTACCATCAATTGCACAAGCCTTTTTATTTTGAGAAGTTGCTCATTCTTTTGGCATTAAAGTGATTCATTTTTTTTTTGTTATTTAAGTTTTAAGGTTTGTGCCATTTCCGTTCAAATGTAGATACATCTTGATAAGAAGGTCCCAACTGGTGCTGGTCTCGGTGGTGGAAGCAGTAATGCTGCAACTGCACTATGGGCTGCTAACCAGTTTGCTGGCTGTATAGCTTCAGAGAAGGATCTTCAAGAGTGGTCGGGTGAGATTGGATCAGATATCCCCTTTTTCTTTTCACGAGGAGCAGCATATTGTACTGGTAGAGGAGAGGTATGTTTCTCGTGGTTTCTAGTCTAGTTCACAAATATTGATCACTATATATACTTCATTTATTCTTCTTACAGCAGGAATATCTTTAATTTTTCCAAATCAGCTGACAGTTCTCCAAAGTTAAATACAAGTGCATCTATAATCATATATCATACTTTACCAGGGTGAAGAGTATTTAGCTGATCATGCTACCCCCGTTTAGCTTGTCCTGTTTTTCTTGTTTCTTTTTCATACAAGTTACCTTATTTGAACTTTAACAGTGCTCTTCAAAAGAAATTGACAAGCTACCTCTTTTAGTTAACTACGAACTAGATGGTGACATGTATATCCATGTGCAGCATTTAGTTTTGTGCAGCAGTGTCTCATCATAATCTGTAGCTTGAACTGAAATGTAGATTGTCCAAGATATCCCAAATCCCTTGCCGGAAAATTTACCAATGGTTCTTATAAAGCCGCCTGAAGCATGCTCAACTGCTGAAGTTTACAGGGTAACTAGTAAACACTTGCTTTCTTAATTTGAAATTCATGTGTTTTGCTCATAAGCTTCTTGTGCTGCAGCGATTCAAGTTGGAACAAACAAGTCAAGCTGATCCCTTGACCTTGCTCAAGGAAATAACTCAAAATGGGATATCACAAGATGTTTGTGTTAATGACCTAGGTATGCATATCTCCAAATAATTTATTTTGTTTCAGCATATTCTGTTTCATAACTTCAGTTTAAGCAGTGTTTGTGCTTCTGTTTTTTGTTTTCTAGAGCCACCAGCTTTTGAGGTGTTGCCTTCACTTAAGAGGTTGAAGAAACGAATTATTGCAGCTAGCCGGGATGATTATAGTGCTGTTTTTATGTCAGGAAGGTAAGGAGGGATATTTCTATCAAGCTTTTTGAAGAATCTGTTTGTCTTCAAGTACACTGTACACATGTTCTCAAAGACTATGGCATTGGTGCTGATTCCTGTATTTAGCACAAAGGGAGTGTATGGAGGGATCCACTTATGAATTTGAACCGTAGAGTTATCCACATAGGAACTGCCAAGCATTCTGCATGTCAATTAGTGTATGCCATATTTGATGAGTGGCACTGTATGCTGTGTACCTACTATAGCGAGTTGGGGGGAACAGATCCCTCTGTGTGCTTCTTTTCTCTGCATTTGTGACTCACATGTTTCAATTTTGTTTCATTCTGATGTTGATTGCAGTGGAACATACATGTTTTCTGTGCGTTTGGAACCATACATCTACTAACCATTGTATATCTCTTGTAGTGGAAGTACAATTGTTGGGATTGGTTCCCCGGATCCTCCTGCATTCGTGTATGACGATGAAGACTACAAGGATGTTTTTTGGTCAGGTATGCTCAATTGTTGTACTGCACATCATTTCCATTTCGGTGCAGTCAAGAAGGATTCATGGTTGATTTTCCGAACACACAATACAAGCTGAAGTGCTTAGAATGTAGTTGTGATCCTATTATCCTAACAACTTGGAAGTTTGGAACCGTCATTCTGAATGGTTGATATCTTTCTGTGCAGAGGCTTGCTTGCTCACTCGCGATGAGAACGAGTGGTACAGGGAACCAATCTCGTCCAATGCCACGTCTAGCAAAGAAGGTTTGCAAGGCTCGGTCGCTGACTGATTAAGTCAGGTTCTGTATCAGTTTTGTGATTATACGGATACAGGCTTTGATCAACACGGCGACATGTTAGGAAAGAATTATACGGTATTGGCAATTGCTCATAAGACAATCTGGTTCTGAAATGGATCATTTTCAGTATAGCGACTATCAATTTGACCAACAGTAAGATTATTGGCTCCAGGAGAAGTTTACTCCGTAGATGTATTAGGATCAAATGAACAAGGGAAATACTATATACTCCCTCAACCGGGAATAAAATGAAGGCCTGTGAGGACCTCTACAACTGTTTAGACGACGTTCATCACTGTTTGATCACTGTTCTATTAGGGACTAGCCATGGTTGGACCGTCGTATGGGCCCTGGGCGTTGAGCCCAGTCCGAAGTTTGGTGAGATGAGTCTACAAAAGTAGGCTGGAGCTGAGAAGTGGGGATTGGAAAAACAGAATACCAAACAGGTTTCTCCTTCTCTCTCGAATCCTCCTTCTCAGCTCCTTATTTCAAAAATGAATATATATATATATATATATTTATTTATTTATATATATATATAGGCTTATTGAACTTCACTGCTTGTTCAATTTTTCTTTTATGCAAGACTTGAAATATCAGTAAAAATTATTAGGGAGCATATTTTCAGACTAGTTTCCAGATTTTTGAGGAACACCCAAGGAGACAAATTCATGGACCATGGACCAAGGAAGGCAGCTATATCTTTGTTATCTAATGACAAAAATGATATGGTTGCGTGAAATCAAATGCCAGCACTCCGGTAAGGCACAGCAAGGCCCGAAGACCGGCACCCTACGGGCGTTGTTTTTCTAGTCTCATCGAAGGCCGGCTTGAGCTATTACAGTGTGTCAAGGAAGAGGCGCCTCACGAAAATCGAACTTTGTTCATTACACAATCTGATCCCGTGAAAGCCTTATCATTTTCTCAGTATAGCAACCATGATTTCTGTGTAACAGACGGTTACTTGTTTCTGTCAACAAGAGTAGAATAGCTCCAGGTGAAGTTTCTTGGTTGCGAGTGATAGCATGAGCATCAAATGGACTGCATTTCTCAACCGTTATACTAGTAACAATGTGAATACAAGTGAGTACTAGACAGTAGTGATAATTGTTTATCTGCATGCTACTAGCCTACTACTACTAGCAATCAACAGGCAACTTCCGTGGCTGGTCAAAACCAAGGCACAGATTATGCCTGGACCTGGCCATCAACCTCGCCGCCCCGTAATTGCGAGCTCTCGTCTTTGGCCTCCTCCCCAGGAACCGACGCCGCCGGGACCTCGTCGTCCGCCTCCGTCGAACACACCGGGTCAGCTTCGTGACCCGCAGCCGCAGGCTTCAGATCTAGGCCCGCCAGCTCGGTTTCCCCTGGCGGGTTGAAGGACCCGAACTTGGGCGTGGTCTCCAGCGCCACGAAGCCGCCCCGCGCATGCTGGAACGAGAACGACGCGCCGTCCCCGTCTCCGTCCCCGTCCCCGCCGCAGGCCGAGCCAGGCGAGTCCTCCGCCTCCTCCTCGGTCACCGAGCTGGGGACGCTGTCGAGCGCGGCGACGCTTGGCGCGGGCAGCCGCCGCTCCTCCTCATCCGCCCCGCCGTCGTCCCCCGGGATCGGGAGCCCGCGCTTCTCCGGGGAAGCGGAAGAGCTCCCGTGCGCCAGGGGCGGAGGGGGCGCTGGGGGCAACGCGGGACCCTCGGCCTGAGCCTCCGCCGCCATTATTCGGGCACAACAGCGAAAGGATCGGGGACGGATGGTGGACTGGTGGGTGCGCGGGTGGGATGGGGAGGCGAGTTTTCTATTCCGGACGATCTGCCCGCACCCCGCAGTGCGCACGTCCGGCGTCCGCGGCTCGCCTTCGGCTTTGGGTGTGATTTTTGGCGATCGCAACATGTCAGTGATCAGTCAGCTTTGTGTCCATACGGGACGAGGATGACACTACGCCGCCCACGCCGGCACACGCTGTGTCGTGGCTTTAAGCCGCTTGCTGGTTTCACCCTCACGAAATCACTATCGTCATTCCGTCGCGCGGTGATTTTTGCGGTCTTGCAGTATTTTTGCGCCGTCGCGGTGACTTTGCGGTCTTGCAGCCTTGCAGGCGCTGTCGGGCCGTCGGGACACGCCGCGTCGGCCAAGCGGGAAGCCACGAAATGCTTCTGGCTCGCTAGTAGCAGAATCGCAAATGCAATGAGAAGCGATGTTTCTTCTAGAATAGCATGAACGCATCAGCATCGATCTAGAGTTGACAAACACACTCCAACAGCTCACTCCCGTTGGGTTGGGCTGCATCTTTACTTTCGGAGGTGAGCGATTTTCAGTTTTTTTTCAGAGGACGAGCGGCACAAAACTCTGCAAACCTCTTGCCTTCCTCCTGGATCTCCAGTCATTAAAATAATAATTATCTATTCACTTGGAGCCCCTTCTTCACGAGAGAAGAGAACATTTTGTGTTTTCTTGCATACATTTGCCGGACAAGGCTAGGGCAATCCGAATTGGCGCCGCAGAACCTACCTAATCAGTACAGTTGTCGTTGCCGATAATAAGGCAATTGAGACTAATTAGGCTTAAAATGAGGCGTAAAGTAAGGCATTAGTTTTTGGTTCTTTCGCCTTCTAAAGTTGCCTTGCCTTACCCAGCTAAGTTAGCCTTGCCAGGGCTAGAGAGTGGATTTGGCTTGTCTGGGTTGGAGAGGAAAAAGCTTGACAGCACGAAAACCGAAGCAGTGAGCAAGCAAACCAAACGTCCCTATGTTTGCCTAGCCACGCAAGGCAAAGGCCAACAAGGGATCCAAACGTCTAGAAACCAAGTAGTAGACCCAATTATCTTGTAGAAGTGACTGACTAGACATTGATCTTTAGCCAAATCATGCCTCACCTTGTCCGGCGAGGAAATCAAATATAGGTGAGTGTTTGGATCTCTTGCAGGTTTTCTCGTTTTTGTGTTGGCAAAGAAATTCCGTGCTACCCCAAGCTAGCCAATTTTGCTCTCCCACCTTAGCAAGGTTTGGCTAACCTAATCTAGTGAGGTGAGGCAAGGCTAGTTGAGCAACCAAACTGACCCTATATCGTGGACGTTGAGACTCCTTACCGGCCGTAGCGTTGCCTTGGGCACTCCATGTATGAAAAGTGCTAATGAAGCTAACAGTTTTTTTCCAACGGGAAGGCACACATCCATCTTCGTTCTTATTGATCGTTGTGCCTCTGACTCTGTTCTGAAATAGCTTTCTATGTGTTTCTCTGTCCCGCATGCTAGATGCTTCATCGCCACAACGCATGCCTTAGTAGGTGCTTTGCTTTTTTGGTCAGATCAAGCCGCCAACACTTCTACAGGCGTCTCTAAGATATCGCAGGGCTACACTTCAATGTGACATGGACATCTGGTGCAGACATGTTTACTGAGGCAGCACGCCACGCGGTAGCGTTAGAGAAGCCCTTACGCGGCCACGGTGTGCGCTTCTCACCCAATCAAGTAACTTGATTGGAATCCACGACTCCTCTCTCAGACACTACTGAGACCGAGTTTTAACGGTTTTCTTGTACCTCAACGATGGCATGAAAACGGAGCCGCCTCCACCGTTAACGTAGATTCCGTCATCTTTTAGGTCATGCTCCATTGCTACGTAGCTTACACCTGTAATCTATCTAGGTATGCTCAGCCAGTGACGAAGCCAGGAAAAAATTTGCTGAAACAAAAGAATAGATGCTTTTTTATCTTCTCTTAACCTTAGCCCCTCCTACCTAATACATATATGCATAAAATTTTAAATGAGGGCTTAAGGGGGCTCCACGTGCGCAGGATGGGTAGGGGGGCTAGAGCCCCCCTAGCCCCACCGCTGGCTTCGTGCTCAGCCATGCAGAATCGATCTAGTATGATTGTTAGATACAGGCCTTGTTTAGTTTCAAAAAGTTTTCCCAAAAAGCGCTACAGTAGCCATTACATCGAATCTTGCGATACGTGCATGGAGCATTAAATGTAGACGGAAAAAAACTAATTGCACAGTTTGGTGGGAAATCACGAGACGAACGTTTTGAGCCTAATTAGTCCATGATTGAACATTAATTGCTAAATAAAAACGAAAGTGTTACAGTAGCCAAATTCCTAAATTTCGCGGAACTAAACAAGGCCATAATAAAGTGATTCTTTCACGCATCAAAGTGGGGGTTTCTCTGAAGAAAAACCTGCATGTACCTATCGAAAGTTACAATGGCCGATAGAGCTAGGAAGCCCTCGCCAAGATGTACTGTATTCCTGAAAAAAAATGATACTGTAACTTTTTTCCACCTTGCGCGTTGCATTCCTCGTGCGCTTTTCCATATCTGCGTTATATCGTTGCCTAACGCGTGTCCACCCACGAGTGGCAGCAATGCAACATTAGGTACTTTCCACATCACACTCGTTTTGATCTACGTCAGGGACAGAGCACAAGTGAGAAAAATGAAAAGCACAGCACGATGGCAAAATTCTCAACTGAACAATCCGAGTCGCCGTCGAGAGACGAGAGCCAGTCGGCTCCAAAGCGACGCGGTCACGTACGTGCCACACCCCACCAAACCCCCGCACGAGATCTCATGGGAGCCGACACGTGTCCCCCCAGAATCCCCCAGCCGGTGAGATATTTTGGCGCCCTGAGAGCAGGGCGGGACGGGGGGGCTCCACGTGTCGCTCTCCGTGCCCAGCACCTGACGGCGCGGGATCCGCCAGCCACCACGCGCAAGCAAAAGAACTGCGGGGACGATCACGCGGCAGGGCGCGGAGGAGACGTTTTGAAAAAAGGCTGTGCTTGGATGGTCGGCACGCGTCCCACAAGCGCACACGCGTCGGGCGCCGGGGAGTCTGGCAGGACACGCGTGCACCGAGGAGGCAAGAACGGCCTGGTTCCCCGGCACGTGTCCCGCTGCGGCGGCACGGCTCCATGGTCTTGGAGCTCGCCGAGGGGCACCAGTATGGCTCGATTTGGAAAGGTGGCTGGTCGATAGCGTAGAGCCGTCGAGCGATTTGACGCCGTAAAATAACATCTGACGCGTTATAGAAATGGCAATGGCGCGCCAGATCTTCTGTCAGGTAGCACCCAACAGTACCCCCCCTTTGGGTACTAGGTGATGTCTGTGATTGAGATGCCGCGTCGCATTCGCATCGCACCACATCAGCTGAGATCCATCCTTACGTGAATTGGCTGTAGTTGTTGCTTGTTTTTTTTTAGCGGCGCGAGGCGAGCACGGAGCAGATATTTTTGGCGATCGAGGAGGAACGGGGAGACCATTGACGGGATGGTTCTCGCGTTGGTCGCACCTGCAATCCAGCTAAGGCTGTGTTTAGATGCCGATTTTTTTTGCAAAATGCTACTGTAGCATTTTTTTTTATTTGACAATTAGTGTCCAATCATAGTCTAATTAGGCTTAAAAGATTCGTCTCGTGGATTTCATCTAAACTGTGTAATTAGTTTTATTTTTTATTTATATTTAATACTTCATACATGCGTCAAAGATTCGATGTGACGGGAAATCTTGAAAAATTTTGCAAAGTTTTCTGGAACTAAACACTACCTAAGCCCCACGACTAAGGGCGTGTTGGCATCCGGCTAACATTTAGAAGGTGTCACGTGAAGGTGTCGCATGGGGTGTTTGATACTAATAAAAAATAAATTATAGAATCCGTCAGTACTTTACGAGACGAATTTATTAGGCATAATTAATCCGTCTTTAGCACATGTTTACTGTGGCACAACATTATCAAATCATGGACTAATTAGGTTTAAAAGATTCATCTCGTAAAATTAGTTGCAAGCTATGCAATTAGTTTCGTAATTAGTCTATATTTAATACTCCATACATATGTGACAACGAGTAAAGTCTAGAGGAGAAACCTAACACCCCCTAATTATTAGCACTCGAGGCCGGAGTGGCCATTTGTCAAGCGGCCGATGGTGCCACGACGCCCTGGCCGGTCGCGCCCTGCCCCGACACCCACGCCTTTCGGGGAGCACGTGATGTGGTCGCCGGCTCGCCGCGAGCGTATAAATCTTCTCCATCCACCTGGCGGCTGGCACTGCCCTCTGCACGCTCTGCATCGCCTAGTACCGAACGCTCTTCTCTGGCTTGGGTTGATTCGCGATTTTCTACTGTAGCTGCCAGGAACTACGAACCGCAGCTGTGCATTGCAGCACGGTGCTAGAAGCCCACAACCCCCAGCCACGGGATTGCCGATTGCCGAGCGATGAGCGAGGGCGCGCGGAACACGCGGCAGTTCCTCGGCGCGTCGAGCAGCGGCGCGGGCGGGAGCGGGAGTAGCAGCGCCAGCTACCGGAGCGGCGGCATTGGTGCGGCGGCGCGGACCAACGACGTGAACACGGGGATCCTGGACGAGAACGTCCTGGCGCTGGTGTTCCGGTCCCTCGACTTCGACCCCAAGGTGCTGTGCACCGTCTGCTGCGTCAGCAGGCGGCTGCGCGCCGTCGCGGAGCGCGTGCTGTGGCGGGAGCTCTGCATCTCCCGTGCGCCGCGGATGGTGGCCTCGCTCACGGCCACGGGCGCAGGCGCAGGAGGCGCGCCCCCGGCCCCGGGGCGCGTCCTGGGCGGGTGGCCCGCGCTGGCGAAGCTGCTCCTCTTCTGCTGCGGTGCGGCGGCGACGGCCGTGCGGGGCCACTTCACGGGCGTGTCCCGCTTCTCCAAGACGTCCGGGCGGAGCTTCCTGTCGCGGCGGTGCCGGGGCGACCTGCTCTACGTGTCGGACCCCTGCGAGCACGCCGTGCCGGGAGCCGACGACGACGTGGGCGCGTACCGCGGCGTGTTCCGCGGGTTTATGCGCTCCCGGACGCGCGCGTGCCTGGTGGGGCGGCAGGCTCCGCTGGAGACGCGCGTGCGCTGCCCCTACTGCGGCGCGCGCGTCTGGAGCATGGTAGCGGCCGGCATGGCGCCGCGCAGCGCGTGCCGCAGGCTGGGAGCCTACGACGGCCGCCTCGAGTATTACGTCTGCGTCAGCGGACACCTCCATGGCAATTGCTGGCTCGCGCGCCTCACCTCCAGCGACGGCGATCACGACGGCGACTCCGAGGATGACGACGACGACGCGTCCACGGAAGGCGGCAGCGACGGCGGACCCGTCGCGCCATAAACTCCGACATATCAAGGTCCACCACCAATCCGCCATGTGCTCGATGGACTTGTGCGTAATTGCGTACTAGCAGTGTACCATCAGCAGCACTGTGTCACAGACTCGGTGTCGATGACTAGCCGGCGTCCCTTGGGCCTGTTTGCTGGTTGGGCTGTGCTAGTTTGAGTTAGTTGATGCTGGTTTTTTTGAGAGGAAAATACTGTTGGCTGATTAATTTAGCTGGCTGAAACTAACGAACGAACATGCTCAGCCCGTAGAGTAGTACTATGCTCAGCCCGTAGGAGTAGTACTAGAAGGTAGCGGCAGCGTGCAGCATGCAGCGCTTGACTGATAAGGGCTTGATTAGTGATTTGTTGTCAGAGAAAAATAATATTTGTTGGCCGCTAAGGCAAGTAAACAGGGTGCACGTTTGTCTGGTCCGCGGCGCGGCTGGATATGGCACGATGTTTACAGTTTCAGCGAGCTGTGCGCGCGGCTGAATGGAGCCTTTTGTGATGTGATCTGACCTCGTTCTCGTTCATAACTGCTTTGTCGGTCGAGGACCCTGTTCGGCTGATTCTCGCTCCGTTCGTGTGAGTTTATTCGGCATTACTTTTTAGCTATGAAATGATATTTTGTATAGTATTTTAATATAAGTATTAACATAAGCTAAATTTTAGCATAAGTGCCTCTTTTTTTCACCCTCAATCGACTGTCATTACTGTCGTGTGTGTTGACTTTGAATTAAGAGTTGAAAAAGACGCTCCGCTACGAGGACCTGGCCTGGGGGCATCCGCCCCAGGTCGATCCAGCAGCCCCCTAGGCGCTGGAAATCGACGGCCTGGATGAGGTGCCTGGCCAGGCAAGAATTCCAGTCTTCAATGCAAACAGCCCGTGGTCTGCTGCTCCCGGGCCAAACCCGCCCACTTGGCGAGGCAAAAATCTTTGTTTGCCGCCCATGGCCACGAGCTCCATCTCATCTTGCTTGGTCGGTTCATCTAGTCAGGCAGTCGTCGACTCACCACTCAAACTTGCAAGCATGTGCAGGATGCATTTAGGGTGTGTTTAGTTGGGGAGGTGAAAAATTTTGGTGTCACATCGGATATATTGGAAAGATGTCGGGAGGGGTTTTTGGATACTAATAAAAAAACAAATTACAGAACTCATCAGGAAAATGCGAGACGAATCTAATGATACTAATTAATCGGTCATTAGCACATATGGGTTACTGTAGCACTTAAGGTTTTTCATGGACTAATTAGGCTTAAAAGATTCGTCTCGCGATTTTGCCGAGAACTGTGCAATTAGTTTTTTTTCGTCTATATTTAGTACTCCATGTATGTGTCCAACATGTTCTTTTACTGTAGGAGGAGATTTTTTTTTTTGAAAACTAAACAGGGCCTTACCCGTTCACCTTTCGCCATTGCGGATGTACTTTTTCCCTGAGAAAACTGTAGCAGTCTTGTGTACCAGTCTTGTTATACCACTGTTGCAGGTAAAAAGAATTTGTATGTCGGATTATCAACTTTTCGTAGCTTTTGGAGGACAGCAGTTTGCAAGAACATCTGCTCTACGTGGTCTTGTTCCGGTGGTATTTCCGCTATTTAGGCTGATTTAGTAGTATTTTTTATGAGGTAGAATAAATCAAAATAAGCATAAGTCAACTGAAAAATAGATTAAAAAGAGTAAACTGGACTCGTCCACTCCCGTGGTGAAGCTGAGGTCACTCCCTTCAATTTTACTTACGCCGACATGTTGTCCCCACCGCGACTCCCTCAGCGCCGTCTGGCCGCTGCTCTCCTCCGCTGCGACTCCCTCCGCGCCGCCCGACGCCCCGGCCTTGAGCCACCGCACCGACGCGTAGCCCAGCACCTTCGCCGTGTACAGCGGCGCCATCGCCTCCGCGACGTGGTACACGGCGGAACCCGGGATCATGGTTGTCGCCCTTCAAACCAGCTGCAAACAATCTAGCGATCGACAACCAAGGAACCTCACTAAACCCTCGTCGATATATGTAGCTACTACTAGTGTTTAGTATCTGGTTCTTCGTCCTCTCTAGCTAGAACGAAGCAGTAATGCACCTGCTGCTCTCGATCTTGTGACTGATCGATGCAAAGTGTGTTGTGGTATGTAGTGCGGGAGGCTAGGTTTTGGCTTGGACGTGTGTATATAGTGGATGATTGGGAAGTACGTGTGCGTAGTTGCATTCTTTTCTTGACAAAGGGAGTACCTCAATCCTCGTTGTGAATGCAACTGACGATCGGTGGTGCTTGACGGACGACTCTGCAACTGCAATCTGCATATGGTGGTGCCAATGTTCGCAGGTTCAGTTCGCCGATGGTTTTGGATCGCGGAAAAGACGTCAGAAAACCAGCAAGTAAAAAGCCAGCTAGCTGCAATTACAAATACAAATGCATGCATGCGCACGCACTGGTACTAGCTAGCTAGTTAATGGAAATTAGCTGGGTGCTGACGCCACTAGCAACTCAACAAAAGTGAGTTGTGCGTGCTCGTGCTGGGTACAGCGCTGTGTTACTTAGGTCCATTCGCGTGCCTTTAAATCCGACTTAATCCGCTTATTTTTTTCATCCGAAATGATATTTTTCTCTCGTAAATTTCTCCAGCATTCTTCCAAACCATCCAGATTCTTCCAGAATTCAGACATGCGAACATAGCCTTAGGAGTAAGTACGATCAGTTCGTAGTTTAAACTGGTGATCAATTTTTGGACGAAGTTTTAACTGCTAAATTGAATGTCCAGGTCGATTTGATTCGCAGCCGTGTCCCGACTGCAGGGTGCGAGGCTGACCAATGATCCAGCCAGGCACATGCAGCAGCATGCTGCGTGTTGAATCACATGCATGAGAATGCGAATATCACAGAAATAGTAGGCGAACCCCTATATCAACGGTTTCCAATTCGCTAGTTTTCCATCTCTGCGGCGTGTGGCCAGGTGTGCATTTATTCGTTTCTTCGCAGACAGTCAAATATCAGACATTCAGACGCCAATAGCTGCTAGCGGTAAAGCTCACCACGGCATGCGTGTTAGTTGCATTATTAATTGGTACAGTACTAGCTCATGCTCCTAAAATAATAAATGTTGTTCTCGCTTTCCGAGAAGTCAAACGTTTTTAACTTTGACAAAAAAAATTAATAATTATGAGAGTGTCTAGTTATCTGTCTACAGATTTTATGTGATCAAATTTGTCATATTTTATATAAATATGACCTAGTAGATAGTTGTAACAAAAATCCTAAAGCACAGTCAAACGTATAAAAATAAGACAGATTTAGTAAAAAAAAATCTGTCAACAGATAAATAGCTAAAGTCAATATTTATAGTACATAATTAATATTATTAGATAGAATTGTTGAATCTATTTTCATAATAAATTTATTTGAAGATACAAATATTGCTAATATTTTTTATAAATCTAGTCAAAGTTGAGAAAGTTTGATCGACACGAATACCATAGCGATACTTATTTTGGTGTGGAGGGAGTACACCTGTGGAATCTCATACTCTATCATCGCACCAAGTGTTTGAAAAATTGACTCCAAATGTTGCGATGCACAGAACTTGCCAATATTATCCTTTTGTTAGGCCAGTCTAGTGGGAGTTTCGTGTGGATTTCATTTATATTAAATAGGTTGTCATATATGTATTTTGATGATATGGCAGTGTATTTAAGAAGAGAGGAAAGAGATGAGTTCCATCTATATGAAACTCACTTGACATAATTACCAACTCTCTATGAGACATGAAATTAAATGCCTATAAAACTATAAAATGAAACTTTGTTGAGAGTCGGTGTTTCATCCAAGTTTCATTACATTCTATATGACTTGGAAACAACACCATGAAATAGTAAAAAGCTAATATTAGCTAAGTTTGGTCTAAGGCTCTGTTTGGATCAATTTTGGATTCTTAAAAAATAGTTTTTGCCTCTAGTTTTTAAAATATGGATTCTGAGCAAAGACTAGTGGTGGTGTTTGGATTCCCAGTTTTTAAGAATTTGACTTCATTTATTGCTCTATGGGTCACAAGAAACTAGTAGAAGCTGGGTATCGATAGCGTCCTGGTTTTTAAGGAGCTAGCAAAAACTTATTAAAAAATGGCTTTTTTTTATCCCACCCAGATTCCAAGACAGATTCTTAAAAACCGGCAAAAACTAGAGGATCCAAACATAACCTAATTAATGGAATAGTTGTTAGTTAGATATTCAGCTAATAATTGAACTAGTTAAAATATTAACATGAAATGTTTGGATTCAAGGAGCCAATTATTACTTTCTGGTTTTCAAGTAGAACCGAAGAATGGATGGAAATTGGGAAAGCGGGGCAACAGACAGATGCTCCAGCTGGCAGCTGCTACTCTGCTAGCGGTCAAGTTTGCATATACTCCTATGCACCACGGCGTGCGTATTAGGAATAGGTTGCATTAATTGGCACCTGTGGAGTCCAGGTGTTGCAATTCATGCATGTAGCTTGCCGTGGAATGTTATGTTTCTGTTGGCATACATCATGGTATTTCTAGACCCCTCGGTCTCAGTACCTAGAATTTTGATCCGTTGATCACCGATCCAACAACTCTAGTTCTTTCTTTCTTGGGCCTCCTATCTTCCTCCTTTGTTCAGTCCCACCCTCTCTGTATTCTCCATCAATTGAAACTCGACCGCATCCTCCTCTTCCGTGTGCTGATGTCCCTCTAATCGTCTCTCTGACGGTTCTCGCCGCCACGCTAGCTAGTGTCTTCCACGAGGTCGTCATCAAGATACGTCAATGAGGCCAGTTTCAGTGGAGAGTTTCATGACGTTGTTTCCAAGACTACCACGTCATGTAGAATGAAATGAAACATGGATGAAATACCCACTCTCAATAGAGAGTTTCATTCTGTAGTTATATATACATTTAATTCCATAATTCATAGTGAGTTGGTATTCGTGCTAAGAGAGTTTCATTCCCATAAAACTCACTTTTTCTCTCTCTTCTTAAAAATCTTGCCACATCATCAAAAACACT